CTCTATTTCTGGAAACAGCAGAGAATGACAGGGGGAAGGTACCACAATTACTATATCATGCTTGCAATGTAATAATATTGACCACCACCTCATTTTAGTTTAATGGTGGTGACAATACTTAGCCAACTAAGAATAATTAAATGCACTAAAATTTATTAGTGCCTTGAGGCTGTTTTGGAAAAGGATGCCCCCCCCCCGCCAATGACGACTTCTTTATAGCTTCAGTTGCATTTAATGCAATTTTTATCAATAACTCAGCAGCTCATATTACTACATCTCCATTGAAATTTTCATGCTGGGAAATCTAATTCATCCAATATATGAATCCATCACTTACAGCGCCTCTTTCTCAAATGCTATAAAACTTCCAAACCCATAGATTTGTCTCTAACAAAAATAACACAGAGGGGCCTTTCAATCAATAACGGAATCCCTCTGATTCTGGTGCCAGCTGAATATTTGCTCCAACTTTGCTTTTGTTCTTCTGGGTAGAGGCCCACAAGGGAAAGATCTTGTTTTCACTTGCAAGCCTCATCAATACCTAAATCCTGGTGAACAAGTGACACTGAGAAGCTGTAATCAATAGCTCCCTCTGCGTTTTTTCTTCTGGTCAAATGGTTCAGCACTACTGACAGGGCTGACACTTAGAACATGATGCTAAATCTTTATCAACAGCCAGCTAGGTGACTGGCAGAACAAGACGCAGGGTGGTCATTAACGCTCGTGGCAATCTGTGAATAAACTAACTCCTCAATAATGTGTTTGTTTAGAAAAAGGTGAGGAAAAAAAAACTCCCTGCACAATGTATTGATTGCTTTTGAACTGCATTTAGCAATTTCGGTCTGAGGATGGAACAGAATGTTGTACAACTGTGATGCTCTGCTTGTTAGGAGTTTTCAATTTGATACAGCGGAAAACTGACCATCCTATTATACTGGCTGATAGACTGAATAGTTACAGAAAGCTGCCAAACTGTCAAAAATAGATCAGTGAGGCCATAATCGAAACAGCTGAAATATCAAGTTGTAACACACAACAGAAATCGCACTTAGCAAAAAATAATCTTTCGGTTCGCTCATGCCCTATTGCTTTTTCCTCCCTCCTGTTCTGCGATAGAAAAAAAAATACTGTAATATGAACCAGCATGTGTTCCAGTTTATTGCTAGCCACCTAAGGAATTAATGCACAACTAGGTTTATGTACATACTACATTCCAAATCAATGCTTCACAATCGCACAATTACTCCATTCAGTCTTGAATGTTTTAAACATTTTGACTGAATAGCACACTTAGTTTATGTCAGATCGATGTTAGCATCAGGTTTTAGCTTGAATTATAACACAAGCATATCGAGGGGGGGGGGTGAACACCCAACAGAGTTATCACTGCTACTAGGAGACTACCGAAGATACCTTATTTAAGTAATAGAAGAGTCATTTAGGATGGTCTTGGACTAATCAGCCCAACATTCCCAAATCCCCATGAGTTTGTATGATTTCTTTTTGATCTTCCTATACTATTCTAATGAGATTTTTAATTGAACTTTATGGGTTCCCTTTGAGGACTGCAGCCCTCACAATCAATCTAAACTGCAGTAAACTATTTGAAGTTATTCTTCACAGAAAGGTGAGCCATTTCCACCATGTCCTTGGCATAATTTAAAGCAAAGATGTTGCATCCCTCAGCTGCTGCCGGCACCTTTTCCACCTTCTCATAAAGTTGAAGGTCAATGTATGAATTATGTGAATCAACCTAACTACAAAAGGAGACCTGTAGAATGCACACTCCACAAATTAAGTGGGCAGGAACTGCAGAGTGAAAGCATAAACATGTATTTTATTTCTTAGGGAAACAAGTCAGGAATATTAAGAGAGAGGAACGAGTAGGCTTTGAAAGCTTAAACATTTCAAGAAATCACATTTTAAAAAGATCAGATTAAATCATAATGGAACAGCTATCTCTAAGAGATTGTACATATAGCCACTTACTTAAGTCACGGTTAGAGGAAGCCTATCAGAATCAATGAAACTTACAAAACGGCAAGCCACTAAATCTCTATTGATTCAATGGACCTAATCATCATCATGTCCCATCAAGTCAATTCTGACTTATGGCAACCTTTTTCAAGGTTTTCCAGGTAGAGAATACTCAAAAGTGGTTTACCGTTTCCTTCTTCTGGGGGCGCCCTGGAACTGCGCAGCTTGCCCAAGGCTATTCAGGCAGGCTCTCTATTCACAGGAGGCACAGTGAGCAACCAAACTCCCAACTTCTGGCTCTGCAGCCAGATCCCTAAGCACTTGAGCTACCCAGACAAGTTCAATGGGCCTACTCTAACACAATTCACCATGCAAAGTAACAGGATTATTGCCAATGTCTGCAATGCATTTGCAAATACAAAGAGAAGCTAAAAAATATTTCAGATTTGCTGAAAATAACGGTTCAGGAATAACATACTGACTCACCAATCTCTGATAGGGCATGGGCTCCAGTGTATACGGAGAGCTGACCTGCCATCACATTTACCAGCATGGAAGACAGCATGAGGCAGGCTAAGATATCCAGTCATGGATCTGTCTTCTCTATTAAAGAGGCACTTTGTATGCACTGAAATTTACATTTCTGTTCATTATTCAAAATATTTTGTCCAGTAGATATACGGCTTTTAATATTCAGTTTGAATACTGAAGTGGAGGTGTGTAGAAATTTTTGGCTGTTTTAGAAAGTGCTGCAATAGTATTGCAAATTCAGATTTTGTCTTTTTAAATTTATTACAAGACGGTGGACTATACAGCTATCTTCTGCTGCTGCTTTTGTTGGATTTTGTCAAAATTAGGATTGGATCTTGAGTTGATCCCTTCCTCTCCATGAGATTACTCTGGAAAAACAAACCCACTCTAAAAAAATTCGAAAGAACAGGAGACAGTGGAAACAGTGATGGTAGAGGCCATCCATTGGGGTGGTGGAGGTGGAAAATCCCTTCTCCCTGTGCTGTTGCAGAAAAATCTTCCACATTCCAGAGCAGATGGAGGGGACAGGAGGCTGTGGGGTGGAGGCCAGGGAAAACTAACCTTCTCTTATTCTAGTAGAATAAATGCTCTGCTTTTTTGAAGCTCAAAGTTCCAAGGAGTCTTCCCATTCATAGGAAGCAAATTCTGCACCAAACCCAATGCTTATTCTGGTTTACATATATGTGTTATTAAAAGTAATTCTGCCATGCTCCACGCTGAGAACTTTGGCTCTGAAAGAACTGCTTTAAAAACTGCAAACCTTATCTGATTATTAAGGCAAGCTTACACATAATAAATTTACAGCTTCCACATAATAAATTTATGTCATAAGGAGTACCTCTGTGTGAGCATTCACTCAAATTACTCTTGTTTACATGCAACAGATCCTATGAAGGGCCCTTGAAGTTAGTTGGAAAAATAAAATAAAATTCTTGACACTGAGTAGCTCTAGTTTTATTTGTAAAGAGGTCCTAGGGACAGAGCATTTGTGTGCAATAGCAGCTAAATAACCATGCTAATGTTACTGCCATGTTATTGGACCATTCACAACTACATAACTTCCACCCTTTTTTTGTATATATGGACACACAGTGCAGAGGACAGATACAATGCATCCACTTTTTCATTAGAACACATCTTTCTTTATGCTAACACCAGAAATGTGTTGCTTCTAGAGCTTTCATTTCTTAACTCTTAAATTGCTTTTATTATCTAAGGTTGAGGGAGGGAAAAGAGATCCATATGATTTGATATCCACACAACCCAATGCTCAGAATTCAATGTGGTTTATAGCTGCCTGTACGAGTACATATATAGGCTAAATATATACACTTCAGAAGTACTAAGACTGCACTGGGGTATGGAAAACAGATCCTGGGACTAAGGATGAATTCTTAACCCCAGCTGCTTCAGCTTCTCTCTGGGCAATAAAGCGATGAGTGACTGGTATCATGCCTCATTAGCTTTGATGCTAATCCATACGTTCAAAAAGCTATAGCAATGTCCATCAACCACTGTACCAAAATGCTTTTAAATGCTGCAAAGATAACACCTGCATGTTTCAGGGACACTTCATAAAGAGGAATAAGCTACAACAACACTGCAAATCTGGATGTTTTCCCCTTCCCTCAAGCTTTGTTAATGAAAGCAAATGGCTAAGGTCATCCTAAAGCTTGGTGCCAGCACCTAGATAACTTCACACTTACTGCATAGGTCACAATCATAAATGTCAGCCAATTCTCATGCCAAGATAATAATCTGAAATTAAAAAAATATCTGAGGCAATTGTCAGACATACGTCACCAATGGGGCAAAAGTAATTTATAAATATATCCCTAGGCCTCTGCAAACTACAAGGCTATATTCTACATTGCCTAAACTGGTGAGATTCATGAGTCTGTAAGGGAGCCAAGCCATAGGAATAGACAGACTGTGACTTTGTGACTCATTGTGTGAAGGAGGCCAGAACACGCCTGGCACCTGAAAAGCCACAACCTGACACGCTTGGGATCGAAGGCAAAATTGTGCCATCAGGAATGTGGGTAGTGTTTTGCCCTTTCACTACACATGAGCTCATGTAATCAGAACAGATTTCAGGTGAATAAAAAAACCAAACAGCCCTCCAGAAATATCCCAGTGTTTCTAATAAGCCCAGCATGGGTTCTCACCAATGAGTGAAACAAGTTCACCCTCCAAAAAAGCATAATTTAAAAAAAAATTAAGAGGGAGAAGGGAAAAAATGGGCTAAATTTGTACAGTTGATACATTAAAATAAATGCAGTACTCATATTTCAATTAAATGATGGGGAAATAAATCATATTAAACTGGTTTATGCATTAATGCTGATTAAAAACACTTACTGACCTTATTACTCATAGCAGAGTAGTTTTCACAGCAGATATATTTAATCTAATGACATTTAGCTTCCAAAGCTTTCTATCTAAAACCACCATCTTCCATCTACTTTATTTTAAAGTTGACATAGACTTACAGGATTGCTTCTCATTGCTCCTCCTACTGCTCGGGCTGCTTTGCTGTTGCCTGCCAGGTCTGCTAATTGCTTGTAAGAAACCACCTCTCCAAATTTCACCTCTCTCAACAGGGTCCACAGCACTTCTGTGGTGAATGACGCTAGAAGAAACGGAAAAAAATGAAGGAGCAACACACTGTTCAGAAGCACAGTTTTATTTTTTTAAAAAACCCAAGATAAAAATAGTCAGGAAGAATGACATTTAAACTAGCGTGTGGACAGCAACATTTTCTCTTTCAAATTAGCACAGCAATCAGTTCTATTATTGTGTTCTATATTTAAATTCATGATTATTAGAGAGTGCGCTTCAAGTAATTGATCACTATTAAAAAGGCATTCAAGGCTTTGATTTTCCTATATTTTTAATTTGCTTCCAGTACAATTATCCTGTTAACACATACAATGTGCTTTCCCATTAAATTGGCAGAGTATAAATTAGCATACAGTCAAATTAAAAAAGAAGAAGAAGATGGGTGGAGGAGAAAAAGAACTAGCAGTACCTATTTTATGAAGGACTTGTATCTTCTAATTTTAAACTTCAGCTGGGTCACACTGGAAAACAAGCCCTAAAGCCAATGGGCTGCATCGCTCTGGCCAATGGAATGTTTTTAATTTTCCAGAAAATGCCTTCAAGCCATCACTCAGCATTTGTAACGACTAGCTGCGGTGTCTCTGAATATATGCAGCATATTTGAATGGAAAATACTCATTAGAAATTGAATACTTATTCATTTGCCATCTAGACACTCTTGATTTTCATTCTGTTATTAATAAGACATGAAGAGAAGCAAAATAACCTTTTCAGTGTTGCTGAAGGCAGATAAGAAGACACTCACCGAGAGTGATTAAAAATCATCTGCAAACGACCAGGCAGAGTCTGGTTATATGTATAGAAACTTGTGGACTAAAACTTTCATCACCCCTACCCAGCATAGCTAGTGTGTGATGGATGACAGACGCTGCAATATAAACATCTGGCATGTCACAAGAGCCACTCCTGGATTACAGACAGCTGTAAAGAAACGCACCATCAAAACAGACAGTGCTTTACTCTGTTTCTCCCACCAGAACACTAAGGTACCTGCACCATCTTCCTCTAACACAGAGAAAAGATGCAGATATGCTTAAAATATTACAGAAGTGTCATAGGAGCTCTTTTTATAAGAATTTCATCATCCTCAGCTGCTGTAATGTTCAAAGGTCCACAATTAAATAGGCAGTGCAAAAGAAGAATGTCTCAGGAAAAAGACACTTGTGATAGACTGTGCCTAGGGTGTGTCCATAGAGAGAGAACTAGAGCTAAGTCATTCAGTCCGTTCAGCAAGGTGGTAATGATAAAAAGAGATTGGCAAACTAAAACTAAGTGCAAGGTTAATATTCCAAGACATCTGACCATATATTTGCACTGAGTCACTCTCCAGGGACAAATGAAAGGTTGGTCTGGATTCTTACAGGCCAAGGTATCAGACAAAGGTGCACTTTAACCCCTTATCTGTTATTTTTGTACGCAGAACATATCATATAGAAAACCAGACTAGATGCAGATGAAGGAGTAAAAACCGGAAGAAGAAACATTGATTTAAAATATGCAAATAACACAATTTTATTGGCAGAAAGCATCAATGATGTGAAATGAAATTGAAAGAAGTGCCAAAGCAGGACTGAAGTTGATCAAATACAAAATGCATTGACCCCTAGGAAACCAGAAGCTTGAGTTTGCAAGAGCCGGGCAAATACAAAATGCATTGACCCCTAGAAAGCCAGAAGCTTGAGTTTGCAAGAGCCGGGCAGGGCTGTTGAGCCCTCATTGTTCATTCATAGACCCACCATATGTTGGAGGCAGCTTGACAGCATGTACCAAGATGTCTTGGTCTATTGGTCGACCTATTTATGATTTGCAGTTTAGAACATAGGAGGAGGTATGCTGAATCAGCCCAAAGATCTGCCTGGTCCACAATTCCATTTGCACAACAGCTAACTAGAATTCTGCATAGAGCAATGTGTAGAGGAAGGGTCTCCAAAGTACAATCCGTGGGACACATCCAGCTCTCCTTGCCTTTTTATCCAGCACCCAAACTGGGAACAGTAAGCTTAGTGGATCCTTTTTGGTCTTCTAATTTAAGGATTAATGTCACTGAGAAAATGCAGCTGGAATGACAACAGTGCTTCCTTTTGAAGTCCCTAAACTCACTCTTTCAAGGGGTGTGTGAGTCCTGTCTTAATTAAAAAAATTCACTCACATCACATTTACTGTTAAAAAAACCCCCCACACCATTCTTCTTTTGTTCTTAAAACAAACCCACATACTTTAATGTTTATTTTAAATAATAAAAATCACTTCTTAACTGAAGAGAATGATAATCGCTTCATTGAAAAAAAAATCTGTTTAGCCTTTATTATAACATTAAGCAAATTAAACATCAGCATAATCCAGGTGATACTAGAAAAGGGTCATCAAAGAAATTAACTTTGTTGTTCATTAATTTACATGGATTAGCAGAGGGCGAAGAGATAGCAAATCTGCTCTAGTTTTTTTATGATATAATTTCAAACTGTACACCATTTGTGGCACTAGGGTGACTTTGGGGTTAATCAGACTGATTTGTCCTTTTAATTGCTTTCTATTCAAAGAAAATTCATTAGATAATGTTCTCTTCAAAATTCATGAATCAATTTAACTGAAGAAACCATATTAACAGCTTTGGGTTCATTAGCACATGGAGTTGTGTTACTAGCTGATTGCTAGGAGAGTTTCCTTAGGCAAACAGACTTTGTTTACTGTCATTTCTTTCAAAAGGCCTATTTGATACCCAATTGTAATGAAGGGAGAGTAGATGTCTCCCATTCCATTTCATCATTCGTTCCAGGACTGGCCCTGACTCATATTGTTGATCTTTCTGCCTTTTGATTTTACAAGGTGAATTTCAGTAATTAATTTTGGAAACAGGGCTCTTATCAGTTTGCTCTTGACTTAAAGCTTTCTATTCTTGCCTAGGATGCATTCTGGGGACTACAGTCTGGCACCCTCCCTCACTCCTGCCTTCTTTCCCCTCTGGCACTTTAAGTTTCCACATCAAGTTAGCAGCTCCTCTGGGCAGGCAGTAACTGTGTTTTGTGCACAGGGCCATGTGGGATATGCCACCACCATTGCTAAATAGTAACAAACACTGACAGATTTTATAATTGCAGGTACTGTAAAACTTGTTCTTTACTGATTTGGAACAGTGAGCAGTGACTCAGCTAAGCTTATGAGTCCCACAAATTATTCAGGAGCATCACATCGGAGATGGAGTTCTCCAAACTGCAGAAGGGGAGAACAAAATGGTAGGTCTGATTATGTACAAGTAGGAAACAACAGTCTGCAATCCAGGACGTGCATGAAGCTCTTGGAAATCAACCATGTGGTTGATAGGAGTGCTCTAGAAAATTTTCCCCTCACCATTCCAAAATAAACAAACAGTCCACCTTGAAATCCACAGCAACTCCAGATTGTATGGTAGTGGACGTGGACACTAACTCAGATGGCTTTAAGGGACATTTACTAGACACATCTGTGAGGGGGTATGGTAGTGGAAGTGGACACTAACTCAGGGACATTTACTAGACACATCTGTGAGGGACATGATGGAACAGATGAGACATAATTACAAAATTATCTTAAATAGTGCTAATAAAACGATATTGGTGATGGAATAACAAACAATAACAAGATGATTAGGCTAACATATGTAATGAGACAAGAAGCTTTTGTCTCTTTCTAAGCCCTGGGAGATAGAACTGAACTTCTAGATGAAGTTTTGTTCAGCTGCTTCCTGTTGGAATCTGCCTTGAAGTTCTTGTGTTCAAAGATAGCAATGCCAAGGACAGAAGTTGTTCTGGGAGACTGAAGCTTTTGAATATTATAGAGACTAGCCTATTTGCCCTATGTGAAATGCAATGAAGTATTGCTGGGCAGATAAGATGAACAAGTGTATGAACCCCTGATGTTAAGAGTCAGATTATCAGGTTCTGTTAACAAAAATTCCAGGGTGGACACAGGGAGGACTGCATTTGGATGTATCACAATGGAAGATGAACAAGTGTATGAAACCCTGATGTTAAGAGTCAGATTATCAGGTCCTGTTAACAAAAAATCCAGGGTGGACACAGGGAGGACTGCATTTGGGTGTTTTCTTCCTTATTTTTTGATGATGGACAGTTGTCTACAAGGAATTATAGGTCTGCTATCCAATTGTTGATTATACATTTGAGTGGTTTTAGATATTGGCAAAGTGGTGGACTGTTGTGATTTTTTCCGGGTTTGTCCTGCAGACGATTATTCCTTGGTACTCATCTGTTTCTCTACTTTGTGTGTGTGTGTGAGGCATTATCTCTGATTTACATTTTCAAGTTGAGGACTCTGTGTGTGAGGCACTATCTCTGATTTACATTTTCAAGTTGAGGATCTATTTCTAACAGATGTGAGCAGATCAAGCTGTAGATAATAGACGGTGTGTCGAAGTTGGAAGGATGTAAACATGTGTAGATGTCTGTCAGCTGCCCATGTAAGCTAGTGCTTATTTGTCCATTAGCCAGTGGTGTCCAAAAATGAAATTGTTCTGTTGGTTGGTTCCAGGCCAATGGTTTTTAACCTCTGATCCCAAGATGTTTTTGGACTACAATTCCTTCTGTTGCTTGGTTCCAGGCCAATGGTTTTTAACCTTTGATCCCAAGATGTTTTTGGACTACAATTCCAAATCCTGTCCAGCGCAGCTAGTGATGAAAACTCTGGGAGTTTTAGTCCAAGAATGTCTGGGGAATCAAGGTTGGGAACCACTGTTCTAGGCTAATGGTATGGTGGACATTATTCAACTGACAGAGGAACTTTATCAATGCATTCCTGCCTGCTGAGACATGGCAGGCAGCTATGAGATAAAGGCCCTTTTCAATAAAAGGCTCTGACCTGCCGGTTATGGAACATCTGCACTATAGAACCCTGTCTGACAATTATTCTGATCTCTTTTATCTCATTTTTTGGGAAAGGTTCTCAGCCTTTTAAAGTGGTTTCAATGTTAATATTGTTTGACATTGAATTTTAATTGCTCTTTTTCAACTGATGACT